TTACTCATGCTGCTAGTCCCTCTTGTGCTGTGTAGTCCCCGTTACGCGCTTTAGCATAATCCTTCGAAGCAACCACTTGCCCGATGCGGGAGGGGGACGGCTGGTGGAAGGCTAGCAGTTCCGTTTGGGTTGGGTTGGGTTTGGGGGTAGTAAAGGTAGTAAAGTAGGTAAACGGGTGTTAACGGAGGGGGGGGGCATAAGTTGCTCTGAGTAGCTGGCGCTGCAGCCTTGCCAGCGCCGAGTCATGTCTGAAGCTTCATCAACAAACAGCGAGGGACACAAAATTTCAGATTGCGAGAAATTGTCTGTACTGCTATTTGGTCCTGGCTTACAATATATTTCTATTTCTCCCCTGGCTTTATATAATGGGACAGCATAAAAGAAAAAGAAAATGCCACTGTCTGTCTGCCTTTCTCTCTTTCTCTATTATCTGTTCATATCTATCCGTCTATCCATACCTTTGTCTACTTATTTCTGTCTGTCGGTCGATCTATCATTTATCATTTATATAATCTATCTCTTATATATATATCTGCCTATCATCTATATCTGTCTATCATCTATCTATCATCTTTCTACTTATATCTATCATCTATATCATCTATCTATCTTTCTATTTATATATCTATTCATATCTATTTGTCCGTTCATATCTATCTATCTATCTATCTATCCATCCATATCTGTCTATCTATCTAATATATATATATATATATATATATATTTGTTTTCTGAGGTTTTCGCGGGTGTTTGCATGTAGGTCTTTGGTTATTCGGGTTTTCTCCCACGTAAAATTGGAAGTGTCTTGGCCAATATATATATATATATATATTCATATCTATTTATCCATTATCTATCTCTATCGATCTGTCTCTATCATCTATATCTGTCTATCATCTATCACCTATCTTTCTACTTATATATATATATCTATTCATATCTATTTGTCCATTCATGTCTGTAAGAGACTGGACAGCCATTTGTCTGAAATGGTGTAGGGTTCCTGCCTGAGCAGGGGGTTGGACTCGATGACCTCCAAGGTCCCTTCCAACTTTTATTATTATTATTATTATCTATATCATCTATATCTGCCTATCTATCTTTCTATTTATATCTATCATCTATCTATATCTGTTTATCATCTATCTGTCATTTATCTATTCGTATCTATTTGTCAATCCATATCTGTCTGTCTACCTCTTCTTACCTATCTTTCTATCGTCTATATACTGTATCTATGGAGTTGTATGCAACAGTTTCAGAAAATGATAACCCTCTAATTGTTATAATTGTCCTTGCAAGGGTGGGTGGGGAATTCTGGGAGTTGAAGTCCACCCATCTTCTTCTGTTTTTCCGCCTTGCTGTCGATGGATAAACTTTATAGTAAATTGATCTCCATGACATCAATCCAGAATCAAACTGAGCCATGTTTTGTGAACTAAATCAGCAAGCCTTGGATTCACACCATGCACTAAGGCTAAGCCATATGATGTGATCCAGAAGCCAAAGTGGCTGTTTTCACACAACGCAGACCTTAAACCCCACAAACTATCACATGACTTAGTGCTTTGGGTGAAGGAAGGATTTTCAGCTTCTTTCATGAACAAAAGGTAGGCTTGTCATAGTCGCAATTCTCTGACATCCCCCCTCCTAGCTATATTCACACAACAAACGTACGTAACCTTTCACACCGTAGACCAGGGGTAGGCAACCTTGGCTCTTTTATGACTTGGGGACTTCAACTCCCAGAATTCCTGAGCCAGCATGAGGGAAACTTTGGCCTCTTCATGACTTGTGGACTTCAACTCCCAGAATGCCTGAGCCAGCATGGGGGAACTATGGCCCCTTCATGACTTGGGGACTTCAACTCCCAGAATTCCTGAGCCAGCATGGGGGAACTATGGCCCCTTCATGACTCGTGGAC